CAGGAGACACCAGATGACTCACAGGTCAGTGTCAGGGTCCACCTTGACCTCCTAGCAGAACCCCCACACTGCTGTCACAGGGAAGCAAGATGGACGGCGTTCTGCTTTCCTGCTCCTTTAAATGCACATCAGCTGTTTTAATGTCTCAGGATTGCATTTGCCCCGCAAGTCCTTCCACTTCAAAATCCAAGGTCCATTTTGTCACTGCAGCAGACTGGGTGTCGAGCCCCAGCAGCCCAGGCCCTGGGGCGTTGGCCTTCTCAGCTTGGGAGGGAATATATAGGAATGAGTGGTCAAATGCTTGGGCTCTGGGGCCAAACTCACCTTGGGTCGAGGCCGAAGCCACCACTTCTTATCTCTGGGACCTAGTGTCTGAGGTTGAACGCCCTGGAGACAGAGTCTGAGGCCCTTGAGAAAGAGATTCACCGGGAGTGTGCTCAGGAGAAGGGGACAGAAGCGGGGTGGGGCGAGAGGGGGGCTCAGTCAGAACGCCTCTGGCTGGTGACCGGCTACCCTGGCCCCGCGGGCTCTCTCTCAGGTCCCACCTTTCCACAGGGGGCTGGAGTTTCCTGCCGCGTGAGTCAGCCACTGGCCGCTATGGAGGGTGAGGTGCAGCATGACCTTCCAGGGCCTGGAAGCTCCGCTTGGCTGAGGGAGGCTCTCCACGAAAGGGAGGGAGCTGGTGGCAGCCCACCCTCCCTGGAACTGGGCTGGTGCTCCAGCCCCAAGGAGGGGGTCCCAAAGGACCACCGGCATATGCTGTGCCTAGGAAGGTCACTTAAGGCTTTGGGGCTCAGTTGCACATGAGACTGTCCAGAGTGGGCATAATAATAGCACCTACCTCCTAAGGGAATAGCTAGAAAGAGTTCAGGAGCTGTCATTTGTGAGGGTTGTACACTGGTGCTTTGAATTGAGTCATGCTTCTTAAGTGTTATTTTTGTGTGAGATTTTAGCTCCCTTTAAGGGCCCCAGAGACAAAGGGCTTCTTTCTAGACAACAGATGAGAGGAGCCAGGAGAAAGAAAAGGAAATCCACCCAAGGTTTGGACTGAGCACACCTTTGGGGCCTCCACCCCATGGTTGTTCCCTTCCATCTTTGCACTCGCCTGTGAGTGTGGCCTGTTGAGGGTGTAAACATAGGTCTCCGCTACCCTCCATGACTTTAGATCTAGCCCTCTAAGAAGAAGCTGTCATTTGTCTGATCTCGGGACATCTACGTTCACTCCAGACAGCCCCCTGCAGAGCCAAGCAAGAGTCCATTGCGGGGACTTCTGAGACCCTGCCCTCTGCCACGTTCCAGGGTTTCTAATGTCACAGCACTGTTCTGCAAGCTCATCCTCAGAGATGGTCATGGCTCTCCTCCCCTCCCCTCTGGAAATCCTTCAACTGCCCCCAAAGTCCTCTCACTTATAGAGAAGAGTGCCTTTATACCCCTGGCAGGGAGGTGGGTGGCCGTGGCCAGAAGCAGGTCCTCTGCCAACAAAGCTCTTTCCTTTCTCAGGATTTTAAGGAAACCATACAAGTTATGCAACATTGAAAACTGTGATTCTGGAACTTTTGTGATAATGTGGGTGTGTTAAAACTTTTAAGATTCCTCCAATCCAAAATTTTCCCTTCACCCCTGAATCTTCCAACAAACTGCTACTCCACAAAGAACCAGGTATATCTGCAGTTTTTGTACTCTCAGAACTCCGCTGCCCTGGGAGCACACATGTTCCATTTTGAGAACACCGTCAACTCTTTATGCTTCTCAAGGCACCCCCCAAGTATCGCTCCAGTCACATTTCTCATTGTCCTCTCCCAACCCTTGGATCCAGGCTCCACCTGCACCAATTGCTGGCTTGTCCTCTTTCCTCCTAGATTTTGCAGCACCTTGCCCCTTTCCTCACCATCTAGAATCAGAGTGGGTGTGAATATTTTCCTGCATCAAGTGCCACCGAGTCCTGGATAGGCTCTTTCTCCAGGGCCCTCTAATGGTCAGGGGACACCAAGGTGAGCGTGCTGGTTTTGGGGTGCTGTGCTGGATTTGGGAAAGCCTTTTGCATCTCTCGGAAAGAGTTAAGTAGATGCGTGATCCCTTGGGTCCCAGGAGAGAACTTCACAGAGGAGAAAGTGGCCTAAGCCTGGGGACAGGGATCGTTTCTCCAAGTAGGAGCTCCTGAGCTCAGGCAGGAAGGGAGACCAGCAGCGCTCCAGGCAGAGCAAGGGGGGTGGGAGGGAATGGCATTCTGGGTAGGTGTGGGTAGGTGCACTTGTGTAAAGAGAGGACGAGCGAGAAAGGGGATGAGTGAGTGAGTGGACGAATGAGTGACTGTATGGCAGACCCCCTAAGGAACGTCAGCTGGCGCATTCTCTGGGATGTGGAGGCACAGCAAGAGCGGTGGTTACTGAAATGAGCAGGACTGAGTTGGTAACGAATCTGAGATGTTCTAAGGAGCTCAGAGTTTGATCTGTCAAGGTCTAAGCCATGGAGAGATTTTACACACTCAGATTTGAATTTTGGAATGATTCCCTTGTCTGCTCTGCGGAGACTGGATGGATGGGGCAGGACTAAAGGCAGAGAGATCCAGCTGGGAGGCTGTAGTGGTTCACCAAGTAGGGAGTGATGATGGCTAATCCAGAGCGGTGGGGCTGGAGAGACCAGAGTGATTCAGGAGCTAGTGAGCAGACAGAACCGACAGGCCCTGGTTGTGGCTGGGATGAGGAGAGGAGAGGACCTCAGGTGGCTCCCAGGTTTCTTGTCTTAGGGAGTGGGAGGCTGGCAACACCATTCTAGAGACAGGCAGTGCAGGAGGAGGAAAGAGGCATTTGGGGAATGATGGTGTGTTCACTTGGGACACGTTGAGCTTCAGGTGCCTGGGACAGTCCACACGGAGGCATCCAAGGGACAGCTAGAGAAAAGGCGGCTCAGGAGAGGGATTTGGGAGTCCCCAGCTTTCAGAGGGGAGTTGCGGCTGGGGTCGTGAATGAGGCTGCCCAGGGAGAGTGATGAGGGCAGAACTGTATGGAACACCAGCATTTGGGGTGGGCAGAAGGGTGAGGGGCTGAGTGAGAATCTGAGCAGGAACGACCAGGAAGCAGGAGGGAGCATCATGGAAGCCAGCACCAGGGGGCAGAGGGGGACTCATCAATCATGAATCCTCCAACCACCGGGTCAGGTAAGGAGTGTTATGGCTGTTTCAGAGATGAGAAAATCAAGGCTGCAGGAGATTAAGACCCAGGGTCATGCACCTAGTAGGTGCTGGAGCTGGGATGTGAGCCAAGGTCTTTCTGACTCCAAAATCCAATAAGCTGATTCTACTGTACCATGTTTAGCAACACAGCATTTGGCACAAAGCAGATGCTCCATAGATGTTTGTTGGATGGATATGGATAGGTGAATAGTGTAAGCAGCAAGAGATGCTATAAAAAATTCAACAAATAAGCAGAAAGACCCTGAAGTGTCCCAGGAGCAAGGCCACAGAACGGAAGCAGCTTAGAACTTTTTATAGCATTGCAGACGTGGTGATGACAAAGGCTTGCCTTCCTTCGACTGGGCTGTGTTAAAGATCTTTTAAAGTCCTTTCAGAGCAAGGCTTTTTTCTTTTTTTTTCGTCTTTCCATTCTTGCTTGCAAACGAAGGATGATTTTAGAATCCAAGCCTTTTTTATTTTGCTAAAGTACATGATGAGTAAAATGGCCTCCCAGTCAGCACTTTCCAATTTTGAAAGATGCTAAAAACTGATCTTTAAAGGGATGTTTCTCTTCTTTATGCATCAAAGAGCCTTGCGACCTGCTGGGAAGGACGGGATAAATGTCAGGAAGGTAGCATCACCTGCAGGGCTGAATCTCAGTGCAGAGGGCAGGACTGCGATGGGGAGCGAGCGTGTAGGCTGAGGCCTGGCTGTCTCCTGGGGGCTGCCTGTTCATCCTCCTTCTGCCTGTTCTCCATGGGGCACGGCCCAGCCTGGATCCCGTCCCCTAGAAAGCAACCAAGAACCCCTTATCCTGACCCAGGAGAGAACTTCAGGCAGACACTCAGTAAATCTTTGTTGAATGAATAAATGAGTCATAGGACCTATGGTGGGGCTTCCCGGGTGGCACCAGTGGTGAAGAAACCACCTGCCAATGCAGGAGACGTAAGAGATGCAGGTTCCATCACTGGGTTGAGAAGATCCCCTAGAAAATGAAACGACAGTCCACTCCGGTATTCTTGCCTGGAGAATCCCATGGACAGAGGAACCTGGTGGACTATAGTCACTGGGTTCGCAAAGAGTCGGACACGACTGAAGCGACTTAGCATGCAGCCCAGGACGTTTGGTAGAGTATGCACCTATTAACCCCACTGACGTAATAAGATAGTAACTGTTTATAAAGCGTTTGAATATAGATTTTCCTTTGAAATAAAAGGAGAAGAATGTGTTGGGAGAAAGTGATAAAAAACTTCTTCTAGCTGGGTGTTTCCTCTTTGTCAGGAACTGTGTTAAGCCCTTCATAGGGATAATGTCACTGAGCCCTCTAAGTGAGCACTGTAAGTAAGTACTGCCACTATTCCCATCTTGCAGATGAGGAAACTGAGGCCAAGTTGGGAGAAAAGAGCCACTGGAGGCCACCCGAGTGGAGCTGAGATTTGAACAAAGCTCAGAACTCGAAGAGACTCTGCAGTGCCTTAACTGGGAAGCTCTGTGGACTCCCGGAAGGTGGAAAAGCCTCACGTACTGAGGGGCGGGGTGTTGACTGGGAACTTGTTTCTGCTGCCAACTCCCCTGGGCATCTGGAAGGTCCTTTCTCTCGCCTGGCCTCAGTTTCCCGAAGCGTAGAGTGCGGATGGAAAGCAGACGCTGCGGCGGCGTGGCCCAGCATTTGCCTGCTCTTGCTGGAGGAGGGCGGGGAAGGCGCGGCCCTTCCGAGCCACTCGCTTCAACTGCAGCTGTGGCCTCCCGGGCTGTGCCGACCACACGCTCACCTCCCCGCCTGTGCTGATCACTCGCTCACCTCCCCGTCCGTGTCTTCTGTCCACAGGGCAATGATGTGCGGATCATCCTCGGCCAGTTTGACCAGAATATGGCAGCAAAAGTGTTCTGTTGTGTAAGTAGCGCTTCGGTTGCGTCCTTTGTGTCTTTGGGGAGGTTCACGAAGCTCCTTCTTGGATTCATGCTTACTGCCTGATCCTTAAATAGCCTCACAGTGTTACGGAAAGATGTGGGGTCTGGCTGCTTGCTGCTCAAAAGCCAATAAACAGACCAGGTTGGTGGAAGGGAAAGTTTGCTTTGTTTCAGACGGCAGCAGCTTGCAGGACGGCGGATGTCTGTCCAAAGGCCAGCTCCCCACCACTGACAGTCAGTGGGGAGGCTCTTTTATAGACAGAGGGGGCTACATTCAGAAACAGCATAGTCCGCTCTGCCAGTCACCGTCAAATTGGTCATCAGAGGTCTGACCTGTGTCATCTTGGTTGATGTTAATCTTCAGTTCCAGGTCTGTTTGTTTCCATTTCTCTGAGGCCATTTCTCAGAATTGTGGCAGCTTCTGTCGTGGGTATAGTCTGGCCATCATGCAGTTAACTTCTCCACCTGGAGTCTCAGTCTCTATAGACAACTCACAGGACATGGCTCAGAGTATTATCTACAGCCCTTGAGGAGAAACTAAAGGTCCTTGACTGTGCTTCGTAACCACGTTATTATTATATGGTCTTCTTCGACTGTTTTCCTTTGTTTCTGCGTGCTCTCATTTCTCTGATTAAACTCATTCTTTGACCAAAGTCTTCCACAGGCAAAAGGCAGGCAGGGGGCATGGAGCGGGCAAGGACCATCGAGTCCTGATCCATTTCAGTAGGGCCAGAGTCCAGGGTGTTGGAAGCAGACGCGTTATTCTCACTGCTCTTTTCGGGGAGCTAAAACCCCAGGGCTCAGAACAGTTCCGTTGTGGAGAAACCAGGAACCTCAGTTTACCAACCCACTAATCACTGCCTTTGCACTGCCGGCTAGTTCTAAGTCTCCTCAGCCCAGCCACGTTTAATGGAGCAGTGCTGCGTGCACCCCACAGCGGGGACACAGGACTCCACGGAGGGACGGGGGCGCCTCAAACCCCTTCCTGCCCTGAAAGCAGGGCTCGGAGTGTCAGGCCTAGCACAGACCGTCAACCGTTCAGCATTTACCACCAAATCCTTTTCATGGTCTGGTGTGTGATAGATGACAAAGTATTCTTTTAAACCTTTTCTCCTTTAAAAGCTTTTCAGTAACCAAGTGAAACTCCTATTGTTACCCATGTTTTATAGATGAGGAACTAGAGGTCCAGAGAGGTGGAGGGGCTTGTCCAAGGACAGAGCCAAGACTCCGTCCCCGTTCACCTGATTCCCAATCAGATCCTCTTTTCTCCACACGATAATCTAACCTGAGCACACGTGAGAGTTCTAACACGGGAACTGTGTCTTTTTATTTTGATGCCCTGGCTCCCCCTCCTGCACCTCACGGTCAAGAGAGAGCCTAGTCATGTGAGTCATTGTCAACCCAATAAGGTCCTCCTCTTAGAGTGAGGTTCTTCTAGGTCTCGTCTCTAGTGATGGGCCACAGGCCTCTGTTTTCTTTGACCTTTTTTCAGTAACTCGGATGTGATTATAAAAATATGCTGATAGGAATTTTAGAAGTTGTGAACTATGTTGGAAGATAGATCCAGGGTGCAACGAACCTTACCAAGCTGGAATGTTCGGTTAAATCTAGGAAGGCTAAATCTAGCACAGGAGACCCGGGTTCAATCCCTGGTTCGAGAAGATAGCCTGGAGGAGGAATGGCAACCCACTCCAGTATTCTTACCTGGAGAATCCCACGGACAGAGGAAGCTAGTGGGCTACAGTCCATGGGGTCACAAAGAGTTGGATGCGACTGTGCAACTGACATACAATATGAGGTTATATTAGAACAAACTGGGCTGCCTGTGTCTGAGCTCATAGAGGCACAGCTGAGCACTGTGTTTGGAGCAGAAGAGACTTGGCGTCTCCGGCGACCTCAAGGTTCCCGTGAGTAACCAGCGTGAGCACAGCCACCAGGGGGCCGAGGTGACCGTCTGGCTACACCCACCCCGGGCGGGTGGTCTCTGCTGTCTGCTGGAGACACCCCACCCAGGGCGTCCTGCCCCGCTCCTGGTGACCTGTTTCGGAAGAGGTGGAGGAACGGAGAAGAGGCCAGGAGTGAGGAGAGAGCAGTGGTTGGAAAACACAGACACACAGGGATGTTTCCTTGTGAAGGCTTAGGAGCAAAGTGGGAACCGCCTGATTTCTCAAAATAGAAGGGAGGAGGCAGAAGCTACCGGCTGCCGTTTCAGGGACGTCTCTTGAGTTTAGCACTTAGCGCTCAAAAGTCAGTCTGCTTGGGCTTGGACCCCTGGTCTGCAGCTTAGTAACTGAATGTGGGCTTGTTGACACTTTCTGAATCTCAGTTTTCTCATCTGTAACATGGAGATAATAGTAACACCTGTCTCATAGGGTTGTTGCAGAGATTAAATGAGCAAAAACACTTTGCATAACACCTGTGAACTCTCCACAGATGTCAGCAATCTTTTTTTGTTTATGTAAGTCTCTGAGGATGGAATGAACCCTAACCACCATTGGGCTGGCAAGGTTACTAACTGGTGAACTTTACAAGATTGTGTTAAGCATGCTATGTCTCAGTTAGGGATAACAAGGAGTCTTTCATATGAAAATCTAAGGAGGAGCATGAGAAAAATGGAAAAAACAGAGCAAATTGATTTGATACATTTTACTTCAAACTCATAATACCTTGCATGTTACCATCTAAGGTTCAGAAATGGCCCATTTGAAAAAGGAAAATAATGCTCCAAATTAGAAGACATAAATATTTAGAGAAGAAGGTGAATTTTATCCCCACATATCTCCAAAGCCTTGTAAACAACTGGCACACAGTGAGTGATTATTGATCCAATAGGAAAAATAAATCAATAAAAATGACCCGGGAAGACGTCACACTGGGCCCTGGCCATCTCCTGTCTGCACAAGATGTAGACAGACCTCCCGTTCTGATTTGAGCCAAACCCTAAGCTGGGGTGTGGCTGTGATTTCCCTCCATGCTGGGATTGTTTTCCAAGTGGCATTTCTAGCAGTGTGGTTTCCATTTCGGAACAGGCAGCGTGGCTGTCTCCCTCTTAACCAAAAGCCCCAGGCTGCTTGCCTTCCACAGCTTACCTCCTCATCCCACTTTCCTCTTCCTCCTAGACTTTGGGCATTTTGAAGCGGCCTTTCTCTTAGAGTCTTTGCTGGCAGCTTCATTCGTTGATGTGCTTCTCAGAAGTGTGTTCGGTGTTTATTCCGTGTGTCGGATCCTCAGATGGACCCCCCGTCAGGACTTTCCGTCTTACATGCTTCGGAAGAAGCTCTTCTGCCAGGCATGGAAGATCCCAAGGAGAGTCTGCTCTTCACACTGGATCAAGACTCTGGCATATGGTGGAGGGAGAGGCTGCTTAGAGCAGAGATGCAGGGCCTTGCCGCCTGTGTCAGGGTCAGGGTCTAGGCGCAACCAGATGGAGACAGCTGCGTCTTTGCCATCCAAATGCTACACACAGTGCAAACTTTGCAGCATGTTGCTGCATGTTCATGCCCCCAATGGGAGAGCAGATTCCAGCAAATGCAAAGCCTCTTTATGGCCTTCTGGCAAAATGTTCACTCTGGCTCCAGCAAAGGATGAGCGTGACCTGTCACTTTTGTCTCCTCTCTGCTGGGTGGTCTGTTCTAAATTCTCAAGCACTCTGACCTGGGTTCTGGTTTTAGTTCTGCCAGCTGTGTGACCTCAGACAGGCCACTGTGCACCTCCAGTCCCCAGCCGCCTCACCCCTAAAGTGGAAGCCGTGACCTCTGCCTTATGTGCCTCTTTGGATGCTTAAGAGGCTTAAACAAGGTCACCAAACAATGACCATCATCCCACCTGTGAACTGCTTTACTGATGTGAGGATTTATTGCTACTGTGGTGTGAAATGCCTGTAAAAGGGAAATGTCCTTCTTGCATGGGGAGGTGAGAAGGCAAAAGGAAACTTAATAAAAAGAGGAAATTGGATTTTTGAATTACCTCATGGCCACCTGTCTGCAGCTAATGAGGACAGAGTGGTTCATGGGGCTGGAGAACATGGGCTCAGGACTGCCCATCATCACCTGGCAGGGCTGCTTGGTGGCCACAGGGCCTGAGACCACATTGCTACTAGAGGCAAAAAAAAAATGAAAACCGAGGTGACCAAGTCAACTGAAAATGTGTTCAGTCAGTCACTCTACAACCAGCTACTGGATGCCCTTTATACATCAGGCACTGGGGGTCCTGGGAAGAGCAGAGACCCCCACCCCCACCCCACCCGAAAACTCCCTATTTGGCAGAGGAGAAGCAACTTCTTAAAGATCAGTGTCCCACAGTCTCAGCTCTTCTGAATGTGGGAATGCTGAAATGGAGGCCTGGAGGCTTCTCTGCAGTCGCCGCAGACATTAGATGCTATATTTAAGCCCAGGAGAGCCTTCTAGACCCTCACTCAAAGCTGGTGTACTTTTTTTCTACGCATATGTTTAACAATCCCTGCTTTCCATAGCAATTTAAAAGCAGCAGATTCAGAGTGGGGAGAGGGATTTAATGACAGTGAAAGTGACAGCCTAGACCTGGCAGCTAGGAAGGAGACAAAGCCATCGAAAACAGATCAAAAACTCCAAGAGCAACAGTCTGGGGCCATTTGGTATTTGGACCAGTCTTCCCTACGTTCAAAAGTATCACTGCCCATAGCCCAAACAATGGCTAATATTCAGAGTAAAGCCTTGAGTTACTAAAAGGAGAATGGGATGAGAAGGAGCAGCTGAATGTTCCTGCACACAGTGTTGGCCAGGCAGGTACACATATTACCTCATTTGTTATTAGTGTTATTATTTTATTGAAGTATAGTTGGCGTACAATGTTGTATTCGTTTCTGGTATACAGCAAAGGTATTCAGTTATATATACATTTTTCATATTCTTTTCCATTATGGTTTATTATAGGATATTGAATATAGTTCCCTGTGCTAGACAGTAGCAGCCTGTCGTTTATCTGTTTTATATATACTACTTTGTATTTGCTAATCCCAAACTCCTAATTTATCCCTTCCTCCTTTTCCTTTGAGTGACCGTAAGTTTATTTTCTGTCTGTGAGTCTGCTTCTGTTTTGTCAGTAAGTTCATTTGTATCATACTTCAGATTCCATATATAAGTGATATCATATGGTATTTTTCTTTGTCTGACATTTCACTTTAGTATGAAATCTCTAGGTCCATCCATTTGCTGCAAATGGCATTATTTCATTCATTTTTAGGGCTGAGTAATGTTCCAGGTACCACACATGGCATATATGTACCCCATCTCTGTTATCCGTTTATCTGTCAGTGGACATTTAGGTTACTTCCATGTCTTGCCTATTGTAAATAAGTAGTACTGCTATGAACACAGGGGTTCTGTGTATCTTTTATTTTATTGATTTGTTTTAAGCTTTAAGTTTTTATTTTATACAAAGAGTATAGTTGCTTTGCAATGTCGTGTTAGTTTATGCTGTGTAGCAAAGTATTCTCAGCTCTATATGTGCACACATATAGGGTGCATGTGTCTTTTCAAATTAGACTTTTCTCCAGATATATGCCCAGGACTGGATCATACCTTACCTGCCTCCTGGGAAATCTGTATGCAGGTCAAGAAGCAACAGTTAGAGCCGGACATGGAACAACAGACTGGTTCCAAATTGGAAAAGGAGTACGTCAAGCCTGTATATTGTCACCCTGCTTATTTTTAACTTATGTGCAGAGTACATCATGNCACTGACTCAATGGACATGAGCTTGAGTAAACTCTGGGAGTTGATGATGGACAGGGAGGCCTGGTGTGCTGCAGTCCATGGGGTCGCAAAGAGTTAGACACGACTGAGCAACTGAACTGAACTGATGACGATTCTATTTGTGGTTTTTTAAGGAACCTCCATACTATTTTCCATAGTGGCTGTGCCAATTTACATTCGTACCAACAGTGTTAGAAAGTTCCGTTTTCTCCACATTCTCTCCAGCATTTATTATTTGTAGATATTGTAAATACAGTGTTGTTTATATTTTATTGATGACCATTCTGATCATGTGATGTGAAATCTTATTGTTTTGATTCACATTTCTCTAATAACTAGTGATGTTTAGCATCTTTTCATTTGCCTGTTGGCCATTTGTATGTCTTCTTTGGAGAAATGTCTGTTTAGATCTTCTGCCCATTTTTGATTAGGTTGCATTTTTGTTCATATATAACTTCATTTAATTCCGACACCAACCTAATGAGATGGGCTTTGCTTTCCACAAGATATCGGTGAGAAAAGCAAGATCCAGGGAGTTATGGGCCAGATTACCCAGATGCTATGTGGCACAGAATCGGCTTGACTGTATAGTCTTCTTTTCCCCAGGAGATCAGTAGAAAATATTTTACCTTCATCGAAATTGACTAATGTTCTAAACAAAATATGTTGTCATTCAAATAGACTGAGCTTCTGTTTTCTGGAAAATTCACTCACAAGGAACACCTAATAGAACAGTGGCAGATCAAACAGCTATCACAGCAGATTCCTGGGAGTTTCCTGGATTCCCATGCCATGCTGCTTCCAAATAATCACATGGTCTTTGATCTCAGAGAGGAATGGAAATCTGCCCTTGTGTCTGATGAGAAGGCCTCCTCATGTTGCCTCTCTGTCTGTTGACTTTTGCTTATCATACATTCTTACTAGGTGGGGCGATCTGGCCTCACCTTTTAAGACCGAGAGAACTTAGTTCCCTGGTGGCCTGGTGGTTAGGATCCTGGGCTTTCACTGCTATGGCCCAGGTTCAATCCTTGGTTCGGGAACCGAGATCTCACAAGCTGATATGGCCAAAATAAAAAAAGATTGAGAAAGCTTCAGAGAAGTTTTACTTTGTTTTGCTAAGAATGGAAGGAAATTAAAACAAAAAAATAGACTTTGGGTCTTGTCCCCTTGACTTAACTGAATGTGTTTGGGCAAATTCCTCAATCTGTGAGGCTCAATTTATTCATCTATAAAATAGAGGTAATAGCATACACGTCATAGGGTTGTTGTGAGAATAAAATAAGATACTGTATATAAGTGGCCAAGCACATAATAGGGGTTCAATATAGGTGAGTTCCTCCCTGCCAGCGAAAGATGAGAGTTGTGAAGTCTCACATGTTTTGAGTGAGTGAGTGCTAAGTTGCTTCAGTCATGTCTGACTCTTTGTGACCCTATGAACTGTAGCCCGCCAGGCTCCACTGTCCTTGGGATTTCCCAGGCAGGAATACTGGAGTGGGTTGCGATTTACTGCTCCAGGGGATCTTCCTGACCCAGGGGTTAAACCCGCATCTCCTGTGTCTCCTCAATTGCAGGATTCTTTACTACTGAGCACCAGGGAATCGCCCTCACAGGTTTGACCACTGATTAAATAACCTGGGATCGTTGGAATGATCTTTTTGTTCAGAAGTCTAACCCACAGGTAGGATCCAGGATTTTCTTTAGAAAACAAAAAAAAAGTTTCTGTGGGCTAAATCCCATTTATTAGAGGTGAGCCCACGTGGCTGCCTTCTTTTGTTGAACTGTGGTTTTGTTATGTGATTGTAATATAAGGGCTGTGTTTTTCTACAATAGCTTTGATTGGGCCAACAGTATAACGCAGTTGCTGGGGAAATGACTAGGATCTGAGGCTGCATCATGAAAAGTTCAGTGTCTAGAATGAGGGAGGTGAAAGTTCCATATCACTGGAGGATTCTAGAGAACAGGCAATGCGATCATTGACTTGAGATAGTTGAAGAGCTGTTTTATGAAATAATCTGTTTACTGCCTGGAATCTTCACTGAATCAATGAATAGAGGCCATGGAGATGGAATCTGAGCTTAAGTTAAGGAACAAATATTCTAATTCACCTTTACCCGCCCCCCCCCCACCCCCAAGCAGATGCTTCACACTGTAGGCTGGACTTTTTCAGGTGTTGAGAGAATTTTAGAATTGCCTCCCCAGATGTAGGAATGAAAGAAACACTCCTTCATTCATGGACTTGATAATAACTATTCTGTACCAGGCACAAATAACAGGGGCTCTGGCCCACCTTCCTGGGCAGACCCTGGCCTAGCATGCTAGAGCCTAAGTGGAGGGCAACCAAAGCCTCCCAGGCATCCAGAACCATCCCACAGGCTCCTCCCTCCCCGCCCTCTTGGCCTCTATGCTGTCTTTCTTGTAAGTCAAGGAACATAAAGGGTGTGACATGAATTGTTTTCCCCACGTGTGCTCCTAACACAGGAACGAATTGCTGGATTGTTTCAGGCTCACATTTTAAATGCATGGAGTTGATTACAGCGCACCTCGAGCATCTGTATAACCATCACTCTCTAGTCACTTCCGGGCGTTTTGGTTCCTGAGAGGGCTGCGAGCTCTACTCAGAAACCCCATTCTGGACCCAGCTTTGATGGAATGTGACATTCCTACACTTTGGGACTTTCTGGGTGCATATAAGCTATCAAAAAGCATGTTTTTCCTGATGCAAAATCATCACAGTAAGAATTAAAGCCAAGTGGGGGTATGTGAGAACAGTCTGACAGTTTTTTGCTTAATGGGAGTTAGGCAGTGTGGCTTTGCACATAAGAGGAGGTGACCTAGGTTCCAGACTCTATGACCTTGCAGAAGTGACTTTCCTTCTCTGGCTCTCGATTTCTTCATCTCTAAAATGAGGCTAATAAACTCTGCCCAGACCATCTCAAATAGTGAACATGAAGGACCAATAAGATGGGCGTAAAGCATATAAATAAAAGTGACTTTTTTTAGGATCTGGATTTATGCCCACCATGCTTTGGGTAAAGATTCAGAGGGATGTTCAGTTTGCCAAGTGGCATCTTATATAAGTTGCATGCTTACATTAAATTTTCTTGGCCCCCTTGCAAAATTGTTCCCCCCTGAGTTATATTTTAAGATTATGATCCCAGCTTTTTGTAAAAATCTATACAAAAATAGCCTCATGAAATCTGTTTGTTGTGGGGACACTGTTGATACCATGCTAGCTAATTTGACAGTATCCTCCATATGAGGCTTTTTTGTTTTCTTTTTTTTTTTTTTAGGGATTAAAGCCTAGAAAACATTTTGTGTCCTTGAGGGACTGGTGTTTTTTCTCCTTAATGAAAGTGAGAGCTCTGCAATTAACATCACTGCCCTTTTCTCTCGGGCTGCCAGGACGTTCATCACCTATAGCGTTGGGATCTTCGGTGGGCTCATCTGTCTTCTGTCCCCTTTACCTCCAGTAGTGTTAGTCGCTCAGTCGTGTCCGACTCTTTGCGACTTGATGGACTGTAGCCGGCCAGGCTCCTTTTTCCTTGGGGATTCTCCAGGCAAAACTACTGGAGTGGGTTGCCATGCCCTCCTCCAGGGATCTTCCTGACCCAGGGATTGAACTGGGATCTCCTGCCCTGCAGGCGGATTCTTATCTGTTGTTGTTCAGTCGCCAAGTGACGTCCGACCCCATGGACTGCAGCACACCAGGCTCCCCTGTCCATGGAATTCTCCAGGCACAAATACTGGAGTGGGTAGCCATTCCCTTCTCCAGAGGATCTTCCTGACCCAGGAAGATACTGCCAATAAGCATATTACCTCCAGTAAGCATATTGTAATTTATATTTTCCCAGGCACTTATGTTTTCATTTTTATTCAGTGCTTTATTATTTTAGTATACATTTCCTATAAACTAACTACCTTGGATACCTTGAGAGATGATGATGAGGAGACCAAGCAAGTAATGGAAAAATTAACAAATCCTCTGGTATGAGGAAGCCCAAGTCCGCCCCCGCCAACCTTTCCCACAGGTTTCAAAGCTTTGAAAACAATGTCTGTCTCTTGGTGCCTTCATGATCAACCCATCTCTTGCAGGCATATGAGGAGAGTATGTACGGTAGCAAATACCAGTGGATCATCCCGGGCTGGTATGAGCCCGCCTGGTGGGAGCAGGTGCACACAGAAGCCAACTCATCGCGTTGTCTCCGGAAGCATCTGCTCGCTGCCATGGAGGGCTACATCGGCGTGGACTTCGAGCCTCTGAGCTCCAAGCAGATCAAGACCATCTCTGGGAAGGTCAGTGGCATGTTGTCCAGTGATGTCAGCAGAAAGTGCCCAGATCTTGTTCTGGCCTTTGCTCTGTGATTTTGAGCAAGTCATTTGACCTCTCTGAGCCTCACTTATTTGTTAAAGGAGTATATCTGGCCGTCTCCCTCTTCTAGGGAATTGTGGGAATCAAATGAGGTAAGGGTGCTTTCTAAGCACATAACACAGTGTATATGTAAGGGATGGAGTCATGACTGTAATAGCACCAGCTGCAGGCATTGACTTTCAGATGAGACCACCATCTCATCTCCTGCACCCTCTGACCTGGAATGTCATTTCTGTCTCACTGATGCTCCTGTCAGCCTGGAGGAGAAGAATAACCCCTCAAGTAGACTTGGGGAAACAGGTACTGAAGACCAGAAAGACTGGTCCAAACCCCAGTTTTGCCACCTACCAGATGTGTGACCTTGAGCTTGCATTTTCTGAGCTGCTGTTTTTTTCATCTGTATCCTGGCAGTGCAGATATCCTCCTCTGGGGTCAAAAGGATGACTGGTTGGCAGGTTGTGCAATGTGGCTGGCATGGCGCCTGGCACCTTGTGCTGTCATAACTGGGAGAAGGACCTTGGCAGGGTGCTTAAGTCAGGCCTCCACTAGTGATGTTCCCACTAGGGACGACTAACCCCTGGCCTGCTTTTATCATAGGGCTGTGAGAGAACAGATAGCATGGTGTATGTAAAAGTATTTCCAAAGTATACTATTCTCATTGAAAGCATTATCAACAGTCGGATGGTGACAGTCCCAGTGAAGATGGCAACATCCATCTCTCGGTTCTAACCACCAGCCAAAGTTTAGTACAGCAGGGCACATGATTCTTTTCTGTCTCCTCTGATCTCAGATTTTTAAATCTTTCACCCACCTTCAATTTCACTTAAAGAGTCAGTTTCATAGTAAAGTAAATATATAATATATATTTAGTTTTATCCATTATTTATTCTCAGAGCCAACACTACAAGAATGATTTATTGATTTGTCCAAAAATGGCAAATCATTAGGACACATTTTATAAGCAGCTCTTTAAATCATGTGGCACCTGAGAGGTCCTGGAAAAACATTCTGTGTAGAAAATGTTGAAAGAAATATTTTCATGCCTGAGTCAGTGACCATATAAAGTTTTGGGACATGCTGAATAATGAGTAGAAACAACTCATTTTTATTTCACTAAATGTTATTTTTAAAGGTGTTTTAAAGTTTGCAGTTTATTAGAAGATACTTGGGTCCAGGGATACCCTATACTTTAATCTAAAAATAGTATAAAATTTGAGGAAAGTACAAAAACTAAGAAGAAATTTCCATGCAGGCAGACAGTATAATAATTAAAATGATAAACTTAAGGAAGACCAAAGATGAAAATGATTACACATGAGATCTGTGAAGCTAAGTATGGTTAAGAGCCATGAGATGCCCCAGGGGCCGCAAATGTCATTCCAAGGAGCGTGAATGCTACCTAGGCATGGATGTAGAAATGCACAGGAATGCATTTTGGGAAGATCATTTTTTGGCAGTGTTTTTTGGATTAAACATTTTGACTTTATAACATCTCCCAAAAAGCATTAGTTGCTCAGTCTTGTGTCCAACTTTTTGCGACCCCATGGACTGTAGTCTGCCACGCTCCTCTGTTCATGGAATTCTCCAGGCAAGAATAGTGGAGTGGGTTGCCATACCCTTCTCCAAGGGATCTTTCCAACCCAGGAATTGAACCCAGATCTCCAGCATTGCAGGCAGATTCTTTACCATTTGAGCTACCTGGGAATCTTAACATCGCCCAAGTCACTGGCTTTCCTTTTTAATTTTAAATTTTTAAATTTGGGGCCAGTGAGGAGTCTGAGGCTTTGCAGGTGGCACTAGTGGTAAAGAACCCACCTGCCAACGCAGGAGATGCAAGAGACAAAGGTTCCACCCCTGGGTCGGGAAGATCCCCTGGAGGAGGGCATGGCAGCCCACTCCAGTGTTCTTGCCTGGAGAATCCCGTGGACAGAGGAGCCCGGCGGGCTGCAGTCCACAGGGTGGCTGAGAGGCGGACGTGACTGAAGCCACTTAGCATGCATGCATGAAGAGCTGACCTCATCCCCATATTACCATACACATGAATGGGCACCTTGGAGCTACTCCTGGGGCTCTTCACTTCACCGCAGTGTGGGTTACCCACTCCTGGGTTTCCCCAGATGGAGCAATGCCATCAGGAGCAGAGCCAGGCAGCCTTCCTGCTTGGGGCAGCTCTGAAATTCAAGGTGACCCAGTCCCTGTCCCACAGTCACTGAGGCAAGAGGCAGCATTTCTTACAATCTCAAGGTCAAAAGATTGAAGTTACACAGGGAACTTTTCAGCCTCTTTGCCTCTGGGATTCTGGCTTTAGGGCTCTCCTAGCAGGCTTCCCTGATAGCCCAGTGGTAAATAATCTGCCTACCAGTGCAGGAGACTCCAGTTCAATCTCTGGATCCGGAAGCTCCCCTGGAGAAAGAAATGGCAGCCCACTCCAATGTTCTTGCCTGGTTTAAGTCCCATGGACAGAGGAGCCTGATGGGTTACAGTCCATGGGGTCACAAAGACATGACTTAGCGACTAGACAACAGCAACGGGTCACGTAGACCAGCCTCGCATCAGACTCTCAGATCCTTCCAGCAGCACACGTCTTACTACTAATGCCCTAGTTTTCCCCTCTGGCCCCTCTGGGCCTCCACAGGTCCTGTTGGCAAGCACCATATCCCGGTAGGCATTCCCTGTCCCTCGTGGGCCCACCCCTCCAGTTGTAACTCACAGGTCTAGGGCCAGGTCTAAGGGCAGAACTTAAGGGGGTGCAAAGGACCTCAGTGGGAAAGTCCATGATGAACAAAATATCAAAACGTTAAATAAAGACGGGATCCACAAGGCCACCATTAGGGTGAACTGATTGGAGTCACAAAATTACAGTAACACATCTTGTCTTTATTTAAATTTTTGCTCAGTAGATTTTTTTTTTTTTGGCATTAGTTTTGATTTTTTTTTTTTTTACTGAGGTTTTAGGCGGCTTCTTCCTTTTGCTTCTGAAGGGAAGGCCTCGCTCACCTCCCCTTGGCCTTCGCCCTGCACAGATTGTGTTTGTCAGGCCCCTGCCCATGCTCAGCCCATTCTCTGTACTTGATCGTGTCAAATGCTCTCTCAGCAGGGTGTGGGGCCCAGAGTTGAGGCATTCCTATTTGTGGTCTGACCACAAGCCAACTTCCCCAACCAACCTTCAAGAATATATGGCTCAAGAAAGTTCTAGAAAGTCATGAAATAGTTATTGAATTTGGTTTTGTGGTATATGTGACTGCTGGGGGTCTTGGTCAGCATGGCACAGGCTGTTGGGTAAGTACCTGTATTCTGGGGTCTGTCAGTATCCATAAAACAAGCAAACACTCACAGAACCGAGTCAGTGGACTCGTCCACCCTCACTGCTTACACATAGGAAAGCCGAGGAGCAGAGAGGGGTTAGCACACCCAGGAGCCTTGCAGTGCATTAAACAGGAGCGGTGGCCCCTAAAAGGGCATGTCCAGTTGCTAACACTTAGAACTTGTGAGCATGACCTTATTTGGAAAAAGTCTTTATGGATGTCATTAATTAGCATCTTGAGCTGAGATCATCCTAGACTACCTGCATACGTGCCTGCTAAGTCGCTTCAGTCGTGTCCAGCTCTGTGCAACTGGCATGGATTGTAGCCCTCAGGCTCCTCTGTCCATGGGCTTCTCCAGGCAAGAGGACTAGAGTGGGTTGCCATTTCCTCCTCCAGGGGATCTTCCCAGCCCAGGAATAGAACCGGCATCTCTTACATCTTCTGCACTGGCAGGAAGGTTCTTTACCACTAGTGCCACTACCTGAGTAAACCTTAAATCCAATGACAAATATTCTTATAAAGAAAAGGCAGAGGGAGGTTTGCCATTTGGAGAAGATCGTGTGAAGATGGAGCCAGAGATTGGAATTACAAGACAAGGCGCTCCGAGGATTTCTGGCAGCCTCCAGAATCTGGAAGAAAGGCGTGGAATGGATTCTCCTTGGAGCTTCCAGAGGGAAGCAACGCTGCCAGCACCTTGGTTTCAGTCTTCTGGCCTCTGTAACTGTGAGCCAGTAAGTTTCTGTTTAAACCACCGAGTTTGCGGGAATTTGTTATGGCCACCCCAGGACTCTGATGATGTCAGCAGCGGGTCAGGGGCAGATCCGGGGACTGGAAACCAGGACGGCTGAGTTCCCGCTCACTGCCCCGTCCCCCCACCACACTCTTCCTCTCAGCGTGGCATGCCTAGGAGCCGAGCACATCCGGGTCGGCCCTTTGGTGATGTCCTAGGGGGCCTGTTGTCAGTGGCAGGACAGGACAGCGTAAGTCTAGTAATCAGGAGATTTAGTGCCGATCCTGGCATAACCACCAACTCATCTGCCACCTCAGCTAGACCCTCACCATCCCTGGGCCTTAGTTTCCTCAACTGAAAACGAGAGATTTGGACCATATAACTCCCGGTATCCTTTCCCGGTAAATTTCTCTGACTCTGTGTAGCTATGGTATTGAGTTATTACAGTGAGCTGGGTGATATGGTTATAATGTTAAACTGGAGCCCCCAGGAGGGAGGTGACCTGTGATAAAGTCACAGAATCGGGTGGAACAGAGGGCTCTCCTGGAATGCATTCTCTGCAGTTCCGTCTTCCATATGCCTCCAGTGCCGCGCAGCCCCAGCTTGTTCACTGGCGTCCAGGAGATCTCTGGGAGGAGGAGTAACAGGGTCTCCCTCCCGGCACACTCATCAGTCCCTGCCGGCTGGAATTCCCAGCGACCAGAAGTGCAGGCCTTGGGGCTTCCCTGGCCGCGTTCAGAGCTCAGTTTTCCGGAACCTCCCCGAAACAGCCTCTGGATGCTGGCTTTGGCTCTCCTGTCTCTTTCTCCTTGTTAAAGTTCCCCGTCACCACTCTACTCCCCTAAAGTGACTCTGTTGACATTGGTGATTTCCAGTGTCAGCTTTCGCT